AATTATAACTATGATAGTCTGATGAGACAAACATAATTTAAAATTTAAATCAAATGGAAAATTCTCTACTAGATCTTATTAATAGAAGTAGATCATAAGTAAGACAAATCATGAAATTTGAAGACAGATCATTATATATTAGAATTGTCGTAATTAATCATACAAATGTCTTGATACTTCAATAAAAACTGAATAAATTATATAAAAGGAATAACATTTAGATATCTTACAAAATAATTTTAAATTATTCATTATATATAATGAAGTTATAATTTTTCAGCAAGATGGAAACGCAAAACAGTGAAAATAGTAAAAAAATTAGCTTTTCAATTAAAATTTTTCGATAATAAAATATAATCCAATGTAAAAATATAAAATATAAAAATGTAATATTGGTATTAATTTAGTTGAATATTTATGAATAATAATTAAAAAAAATTATATAAAAATATATAGAAATATTACAATATAGATAACATTTATCGAAAATTTTTGTAATTGTAATGTAATGTAATAATAAATTGTAATGTTTTTTGAAAGATTTAAATCTAGAAAAATTTTTATGATTCTCATTTATTTAATGTTCAATCAATCCATCTATTCAAAACAAAATTTTTCTATAACTAGAGATTTTTAAAAAAGAAAATAAATTAGTCTGATTTTATATTTTAATATTTGTGCTTTTTAAAAAATTTTATATTTTAAAATAAAAAAAATAATGATTTATTTTTAGAAGTTTTGTATTACATAAATAAATTTATTATTCAATTATTATTCAATAATATCTTTTTTTATATTTAATATTCTTATTCATTTTAACAAAATTTAAATAAATTAGATACAAATAAATATTGAATTAAAGTTTTCTTGCATTCTTAATAAATATTATCAATATTATTTTAAATTAACAAATACATTTTAAAAATTTTCAAAAATTCTCGAAAAATATAATCTAATTTTTGAAAAAATTAGGAATATCAAATATAGAATAACGAATTATACATAATTTAATACCAAGTATATCTTCTAGAGCTTTATCCCTTATAAGCTTTGAGAAAAAATAAAGAAAAATAAAATAATTATAAAATATAAAATAATTTATTTTTGAAATATTTTGTAGATTAGCAATATAAATGAAAATAAAACGTTATATTTTATTTATTAAATTAAGCTTGTAATTATAATAATCCAATCTTTAGAAAATAATAAAAATTATTACTTGTCATCATATTTTTTTTTAAAGATAAGTGTTGAATAATTTCATTCTAGGTAACATGTGACTAACTGATATATTCTATTGTTCTTAAAGATGAAAGTACAAAAGAACTCTTCCGTTCCAAGATATAGATATTTTTTTCTTACATCGAAAATTTAACTAAGATAATTATGAGGCGTATAATTTCAAGTTCAATTTCATATTATTGCCATTTCTAGAGAATTTTTATTTTTACATATCTTAAAAATACAATTTTTTAAAACATTATTGATAGTATGGAAAAACTTGATCTTTAATGACGAAAACTGGATATTTAAATATCAATACAATTTCTTTAAGTTAAGTTTTAAACTTTCCTACAAAATCTCATCATTATCTATATGAAAAAGAAGAATTTTTAAATCTATGTTTAGCCACCTTGACACTCTTCGTATCTTTGTAGATAGAGATACGTCTGTTTTTCATGGAAGAGCCGTTCCATTTTTTATTAACTTCATTTAATAAATATTAAATTATAAAGTCGGTTGTCGAAAGAAGTATCATTAATATTCAATCTTATTCTATTATAACAAGAAAGAAAGATAAAAGTACACTTTGATCCGTTTCTCGTACAACAAAAATTCACATCTGTTCAAGGATTAATCCTTCCATGCGAATCAAACGATAGCAAAACTCTCGACGAAAACGAACAAGAAAAGCGTCATTGCACCCCTTCTCTCTCTCTTTCTCTCTCTCTTTGATCCCACAAAGAGATGCAAATACCAAAGGATACGATGGAGTACATCAGTCGGACACGATCGAACGAGTAATTTCCTCTCATGTGACGTATAAACGAGACCTCCATATTTCTCGAAAACATTTCGATTTTTTATATTCAAAAGGATTCGATACGCAACAGATATCTACACCTACAGTTCACGAAAGAGGAGGAGGAGAGGGAGGGAAGGGGCAGAAGGGGTGAAACTACGTCATTTCGCGCTCCCATCTTTCTGTCCCGTTCTGTTTGACCCAGATATCCGGCAATTTCCGCGGACTAATTATGCAGAAAGCAACTCTGCACGAGAGACGGCTTTGCGCGAACACGGCCTAAAATTTTTACACATAATCGTTTCCAAAAAAAAAAAAAAAAAAAAAAGGAAACGCGGAATCCGAGGGTGACTTTTAATCATTAAAGTTGCATGCTGTGACGCGCATTATGCTAGGGGTCGTGCCTCTGAAACATTAAACTGTCCTTCAATTTTTCACCACTGCCAACGACACGGTATTAACCGGTTCTTTTTTTTTTTTTTTTTTTTTTTTTTTTTTGATGTATCGTTTCATGTCGAACATGTCGTACATCGAAGACGTGTCGTATCGTCGAGCAAGGAAGAGTTAATATCGGTTGATTTCGAAATTCGCTTCTGTTGTTTATAGAATGTTCAATATTCGAACCAACAGAGAGAGAGAGAGAGAGAGAGAGAGAAGACAAATTAGGTTAGGTTAGGTTATGTCTTGTCGTCGAGCAAGAAAAAATATATCGGTTAATTTCGAAATTCGCTCTTCGTTGTTTATATAGTAGACCGTCCATTATCTGAACTAATAAAGAAACAAAATCTTTCGGATAAAGTTAGGTTAAGTTATTTCGGATAATGGGATTCTTGATGTAAGGATTCGGATGTGAAAGACAGTTTGTATTATGAAATTAGGTTATTTACTTAAGAAATATTTTTAATAATATATATATGCAATGATTTATGATACAAATGAGAGCAGAGAAATTTTAAGGTTCGAAATTAATAATGGAGGAAAATCAATAATGAAATTGATCGAGAAGTTTTGTTTTCGAGTAAATTAAAAAATTTGAAAATTGTATAAATGAAATTAACTAATTTTTATAGGATAGGAAATTGTTTTTTTTTTTCTTTAAAAATTGGAAAATTTATCTTTGATTTAATATTTTTTTTAAATCAGGATTTAAACATGTTCGCATGTAGAATAATCACTTGTTAGTATATTTATATTAAAAAATTAATTAATTTCACTTGTATTTGAAAAATCTTCAAACTTACTCGAAATAATAATCTAAAATCGAAAATAAAATCTATGAAAAAATTATATTCTATATTTTTATGTTATTTCAAAACATAGAATCTCACTTGCATTTATTATGGAGCACTTTGTATAAAAGAATGTGGATCTTATGATTAATTTTTCACTTTTCTTTCTTTTAATAATTTAATTGATTTTCCAATATTATTTTTATCAATTTTATAAAAAATCCATCGCTTTCTAATTTCTTCAATATTTTCGATCTTTCAATAATTTTTCAATAATTTCAATATATTGTTTACAAGTGAATACTATGTGAATGTGTCTAACGTCAATTTCAAATTAAATTTTATTTACTGTTACATGTTTGTATTTGTTATGAGTAAAGATAGTGTGCAATTTAAAGTATTCGAATAATGGAAGTTCTATCGTACAAACGGATTGTATTAAATTTAAAAAAAGTATGTGAAAAGAAAATGGCGAATCGAATTTGGAATTTTTACTTATTTTCTATCAGGTTCCTATTGTCATATTTATAAGATTTATTTATTATAATATAATTACATTATGTTATATATCATATTTGGATGATCATTTGGTTATGTATTTCAAATTTAATCATTTTACCACGAAGAAAAAAAATTTTGTTTACTTTAGATATGAATGATGTAAAGAATAGAATAGAGTTATTTAAATATTTTATAAAGGTATGGGATAATTGAAAAAATTATGTAAAACTAAATCATAGAATATTTGTTTTTTAAATGTTAAATTAAATTATTTTAAATACAAATAAAAATAAAGTTTTCGCTTTTGGAGGATTGGAAATCAATTCATAAATGAAAAAAGAAATAAAGAGACTATATAATGTTATTTTATTTTATAAAGGAAGATACGTGATGGATTCGAAAAAATTTTATTCAAATTTATAGTTCTTCATCAAACAAATTCCATGTTAAAATGCTTTTTCACTCGACACATATACAATTAATATTCATATAATTTAATTTCCAACCAGATTTCAAAAAAGTTAAAAAATAGAAAGTTGCCATTTTTATTAAATATTCGAAAGATATTAAAGTATATCATATAAAATAAAATATTTTATATTCGTTACAAATTTTTAATATTTTATTTCTCTAAGTCTTTAATTCAGAAAGCAAAATGTATATTATACTCATTTATTATATATTAATTAAAAAAAAGCATTTTTACGTGTGATAAGGATCGCTCGCGTGTATTTAATTAATTACAAAAAAGGAGATCGTGTCTCAAAAAAAGAAAAAAAAAAAGTTGGAAAAATGAAACCAAACCAAATACACACGTATATATTTTAATTAGAAAAGCAATATAAATCACAATCCTAAGCCTAATAAGACAGAATCGTCGTTCTGTATGACAAGCATGATGAAATCGATAAAAACCCGCTTACTTCAGTGTCGTCTAACCGTTGTGACTCGAATCGATGTGTTATGACAGGTCAACTGTGCAGTTTGTTACGTTAATTCCTCCGTAGAACGATGAACAAATCTTATCCCAAAATACGATGCAATTCCGCGTATCCGTATCATTCATCGATGTAAATTCGAGGTTCCTACGAGAATCGCTATTATCTTTTTTATCCAAATCCATTCTTAACGTACACTCATTGTCCGCGTCATAATGGAATTTCTGTAGAGGAATTAACGTCAACTGCAACAGCACACCGAGGCATATCGAAGTGTCACTTCGTAATCGAGTGTCTTGCACGTTTCAGAGGGAGAGAGGAGGGTGGAACGAGTGGTGGTCACCGTGAACCCCGATCAACGCCCGATTGGGGTACTGGTGCACTTAATGGAGAACATCTTTGGGTACCGACGTCAGCTTCCGGCGACTTCTGTTACGTCAACGACTGTTCGGTGAGTGTCACGATAGCAAATATAAAATTGTAATTTCGAAGATCTGGGGGTGGGCAGAAAAGATTGGGGTTATGTTTAGAAATGTGGATCGAGAATATTCGGTTAATATTCGGTTTTGAAAAAAGTAATTTTTTATCGACAAATATTTTCTCCGTTTCTCTTCGATTAAGAAGTTTTGAACCTTATGAAGATTTGACTTTTATCGTGCAAAATATGTAATGATTAAAATTGCCAAGTTTTTTTTCGTTGTTGATAATTCTTTGAATATTGAATTACGTTAATGTTATTTTGTGCATACGATGTGCGTCTTTGATGTGAAATTGAACGTGATGTTTCCGTATAGTTATCCGAGTTGTAACACGTCAAAAGATTTCAAAGAAGTATGAAATTTCATCTGGGTTCTAAGAATATTTAATTCATAATAGTATTTTAATGTAAGTTGTATTAAGAATAATAATTGGTCAGATTATGAAGAATTAAAGTAACTTTAAATTGAAATATATATACATAAAAATTTTTGTATTTTTTGTATAAAAAACAAGTACATATATATAGTTTTTTATTAGATACATATATTGGATCTTTTAATTTTTATTTATATCAAACGTTTGTCGAACAATGATTGTTGAAAATATTTTTTAAAAAATCTAGTAAATCCAATCTTTTTGTCTAATATGCGATACATATAACGATAAAAAAATCTGTATTAATTAAATAAAATATTTATAACTCAATTTAAGGATCAATTAATCGATAAATGGAAAAATTGGATTTGAAGTCCTGACAATTTAATCATATTACATATTTCTCTACATGGATATGTTATTTCATTTTTAAATCGTGATATGAATTGTTTTTACTTCGAAATTGAAATTGTGCATATGTTCATATAAACAAATATAGAATTAAAAATTATTAATATATAAATGACATATAACAAAATTATTAATACAGAAATAAAATTAATCAAACTGTGACGAAACGTTCAATTGCAAACGTTTCTGTTGCGAATTATTTCATTAAACGAAAATTATGTGCTGTCGACGAAAATAGGATAGATGGATCATGACCTATTATTGATAAATAGATTCCCTCGTGATATTCATATAGGCGTGTAATAATAATAATAAATAGTATCACCAAACTAAACTGATCAATTCAAGAAGATTAATTATAATAATATTTAATTTGATTAATTCTTCAAAAAATAAAGTTTGATTTTCAAGTGATTCATCTAGCAAATTCAATACCAATATGATTCCACTTAAGAATCTTTTTTATAATTATATTAATAGAAAAAATTCATAAAAAGCAAATTAAAATATAAAATTATAAATGTAATCTATATTTTAAGAACAAGTGTAAAAATATAATTTTTTTTTGTATCTTTATATGTTAAAATATTTAAATATTTAGATAAAAATTAATTTATGAGATTGTAATAATAACGAACGAGAGAAAGAAGATAATAAAGAAAATGAGAGTGTGTTTTATCTGATTATAGACTCGTTAGTAAGGCTACCTAGAATGTTCATCGCCGAGGCAATCCTCGATATTATGCGCGAAAATTAGTTTTTAGTGCTTGTAAGGTCTTCTCTTAATCATTCTTAAGTCCCGGAATACCGTGTCTAATTCTGTTTTTAGAAAGTTCAGCAGAGAACTTTACTTCCACTATTTTAACAAAATGAAGTTATTTTTGATGGAAGAAAAACGAATAGTTTCATCAGTCGATATTTAGCTCTTTCCAAGAAGAAAATACATTACTCTAGAAATTTTCTATAATTAAAAAATTTTATCTCATTATATATAATGATTCGTGTCGAATATATATACTATAATACTAATAGTAATTCGCATTTGGTGATCCCTAAGATTCTCTAGAGTCCCTAGGATCTTTATGAAAAATATATTTTTTGATGTAATGTTCAATATTTTAATAAAATTGTTTTTTAAAATATTATTATTACAAATTTTCATTAATAAATAATAATTGATAGCAAATATAAAAACAATGTAATATTATTCTGGTTAGTAAAAACGAAAAAATAAATCCAATGATCTCTAGGATCACTTTGTCAAAATAGATCATATTGCTTTAGATTTTCGTTTTTTTTTAAATATTGGAACAATTGGATATTAAAGAACGTATTTTTATAAAAATATAAAATTATTGTCGCCGTACAAAAAATAGAGAACACGTTAGAGGTTGTACACGCATCCCTTTCGCAATGAGTGTAAGAAAGCGCATAATTAACGTTACATCACGATTATTCGTGACATGGATCTACATAGTTTTCATTTATGCGATGTCTTCCATTTGCGAGTTATTACGATGATATTAAGAGAGAGAGAAAAAAGAGGAGGCTTACGTAATGAGAACCAAGGTCACTTTGTCCACACACCTACCTTCTAAAACGGAATGAATCGTTCGTATTTGAAGAGAAAATTAGCTATCAATGGATGATTAATATGTAATATTCTAATATTGGCAATTCAAGTGACGAATCAACATATTTATTTTTCAACATGAATTAATAATTATTTTGTTTCTTTAAAATAAATATTCATCGAATTAATATATTTATAAGATTAAATTTCGCGATTATAATCATGTAATAATCAAGTTTCTTCTCTCAAAGGATGTGTGTTAAATATCTTTTCCTTCATAAAAAATGATAGGCATTATTAGAAAGAATCTTAAGATTGAATTTATTATTATTATTGTTATGTATTATTTATTTATATATATTAATTTATCGTTACATTTCAATCATAAATATTTCAAAAAAAAAACTTGTCAAGAATAAATTATATTGAAACGCCACACAATTAAAAAAAACTTATATAATTTAGTAGCTGTCTTTGATTCTTCGTTATTGATTTCGAATGACTTCTTTAATTATAGTATGATTAAGATAAAATGCAATAAATTTCAATTGAAATATTGAAATTGTGATTTTATAATAATAAAGAATTATAAATATTTATATATACACAAGAAAAGACATTTTTTTAACTTTCATAATAAATTGTTTTTTTTTTACAAACAAATATCCTTTATGAGATTCGCAAAAACTTTTAATGATAAATCTTTTTGAAAAAATTTCTAAAATTTTTGTTAAAACTTTTATCAGAATTGTTACTTCATTCCAGGACTTTTCGAGAAAGTTTTTTATGAATCATTTCATTCTCGTGTACACAATGTTCTTGACTTGATTCTCAGTTTTTGTTTAGATAATATGTACGTAATGTTATTACGCAATAATTAGGAATAATAAATTGCAAAAAATAATTAAATTAACTTTTAGTTAAATGCTTTTTTTTAATATTAATATTAAATTAATATTAATATTTTTTTTAATGTTAGTTTATTTAGTGATATTAGAATTTAGTTTAGTGATATTTCCTGAGAAATATCTCCAATTGAAAGTAAAAAAGAAAAGTTTATATGCTTAAAAACTGAAATTTTTAAATAAAGTATGGCATTTCTAACAAAATGAAATTCAAGAAATGCTCAGTATTACTTGCTATAATGATACATTTAATGTACATTTAATTCAATTATATTTAATTAAACAAAATTAAAATAAATAAATGATTCATTTTGCAAAACGTAATCAATATTATCCCAATAATAATAATTAAACATTGATTATCAGATTCTCAAATGTAATATGGAAATTTTTACAAATCCATTGTTAATAGTTGTCACTACTAAAATCCTGTGGCCAATAAAAGCAAGTTGAAAGTGATAATGAAAAAATAATAATTCTAATATTCGATAATTATTTTCATCCATCCAACGTTTACCTTACAATTATGCATCATTAATGCAAATAAATTCGATGAACCGCCACGCGCCTTCACCTCGTAAGGGTCAAATCGATAAAAGTCGAATGAAGGATCAAGTCAATAGGGTCGAATCAATAGAAATCGAATCAATAATAATGAGATCGACAGGAATCGAATCAATAGAAATGGAATCGACAAGAAATCGATCATCGTTAAGAAACCATCATAGATCATATAGAAACTCGAGAACTAAGTCGGATGAAACAAATCATCGATAAATTCGAACTTTTTCTATTATTAATGTCCGTTCAACTGAATCCCAACGAGAGTGTATTCCGCCGTGTGTTGCTTAATTTAATTTTAATGATTTCGAAGCAATCATAAATTCTATCCAGTGAAACGAATATCGATATAGAAATGGTGCTGAAACACATGCCCACTAAAAGTCCATTTAGTTTCACGATTTATGCTCCTTTCACGCGAAACACTCTCGCGAAGGTGCACGAGATTTTAATGGGAATCGAAATCGAATGGTACTCCGTCGAAACAGGAAATTAATATGTGAATAGACTTGCGTCAGGATATTCTGTCTGTTTATTTCTTTTTTTTTTTTTTGTAGTAGTTTCTCGATTATTCGGTTTACATTCGTGGATGAGAGTAAAAAAAGGAAACGAAGTGGGTATTTACGTTGATCCTTTGGTTGGCTGTTTATTTCGCTTAAATGTTTGAATAATTTGTTAATAGAAGAACGTTTAGAACTTCATGCTCGGTATTTAGCTGTTTGTATTTTGTCAAGAGTATATAAAATTGACGTAGATAATCGATTATACATTTGAATATCTGTTATTGTTAACAGGAAAAAATATGATTAAATTTTGAAAAATAATTTACGTGTAGAGTTTGTATAAATTTTTTAGAACGTTATCTAGTAAAAATAATTGTTGAATACAATTCAAGATTATCAAAGATTAACGAGGAATAATTTATTTTACATAAAATTCTTAACATTCCATTTAAAAACGAGGTTGACTTTTCGTATGATTTTTATCCATGTCAAAAGAATTATTTATATCAAATTATATGTCATTTGATATGCAAGTTTGATATGACATGTAGAAATTTCAAAATTACTCTTCAAAATTGAATTTTCTTATAATTTCCTTTCATGTTAAATTGTCTTAATATTATATTTTGAATGCATTTAGAAT